TTGTGGGAAAATTTAGCTATCACTCCATCATATTAAACGAAATAGGATGAACACATCTCATGTATTTTATAGTAATATGAGAAACCGTACTTATAAAGAAAAAATATTTTAAAGTAGTTTAGAGTTTACACTTTGAGATTTACTTGTAGCAATAGTTTAGAATATTCATTCAAGCAATATGGCCCGTTTTTATTATTTTTATATCATTATCTAATATCCACCACGTCATAATAGCCAATTCAATTTTTGCTATCCTCATTTTTATTTGTTTTTATTTTGAAAGTTTTTGGTGTCTTCTCACGTTTCAATTATGTGGAATGTGATAGAAATATATACTTTACAAGTTGTTTGATCTTGTTTTCGCAACTTGGTCATATTGGTAGGAAGTCTTAGAGGAACGCACCTTGTCCGGAGTCCATTGTATGCGTAATCATTTCCAAAGTCGGACCGTGGACGTGGTACGTTCCTCTAAGTCTTCATATAAATATGACCAAGATGTGAAAACAAGGTCAAGCAACTTCTATAAAACGAAAGGAGACTGCCACCAAACAAAAGGCCACACCATCTTGGTCTTCATACCTTAAATATATACTTTAGCTTATTTATCTCCACTTTTGATGTAGTCATTGATTGCATGACTCAAGAAAGTGTCGTAGTTTCTCTGAAAACCGTTTTTATTCCTCATTTCCTTTTCCAGTTCACCTATCTCTTTAGGGAGAATGAACGAAGGAAAAGACAAATCTGGAAAAAGGACTATTTATCTTCTCTTACGTATTCTCCATTCAAAAGGGTTTTCTTTAATGATCCAATGTCATTTTCAATAAGAATTAAGGAAGAATGTACCAACTCTACGTTCGGATGTTGAAACTTTTCACGATTACCATGACAGAGCTGTTCAAGCTGAGAAAACGAGATCGGGTTAGTTATAAAACAAGATGGAGTTCACAGCAATTGCTTTTCTCTGCAACTCGAATTGTCATTTCAAGTAGAAAAGTAAATGAAATGAATACGTACATTGGCCTCACCGGAAACCTAAGTAGAACTTTTCTGCATCCAATGGATCCGTTCTGAGCTTTCATCTGTCCTATCGTGACAGACATTGTCAGAAATAGAAACAGTGCTCCGCCAAAAACGGCACCAATTGACTATCATAAAACTTTTTTCCTGTTTCACTTTATTGGTGTTATCTTTCGTAAAGTATGTTTTCTGGCTCAGACGATGTCTGCCTTGACGGGGCAGACGTAAACTTTGCACGAGTTTGTCAGATTCGTATGAAGAAGAGCCGATGACATCTACACAAAATCCAAGAGTTTTCGTTCTGAAACATTTCGCCTTTGCTTTCCAGTCCAGGCAATTTACGAATATCTTTCAACATAACTTTCCTTCAAAATGAAAAGTACACAACGCAGGAATGACTTTTTCTGTAACGAAATGATTTTGCCTCACAATCCCATTAGATTGCACTTGACTTTTCCTCCAAAAACACCCACTCAGTTTCAATCTGACGTCGGTTCCATCATCATGTCCAGGCCTTTTCCAATACACACTTCATAGGGAGATTGGTGCCAATAAAGAGAACCAGTATTTGTAATCAAACTCTAAACATTTGCATTTATCAAAGCCAGTAGGCTACAATGTTATAACCCGATCATTGATACTAACTTTAATCAATTTCGTTGGCATGAGCTTAGGTAGGCGAATGGAAGGGATTCGTAAATTAGACTCCACGGAAGCTGAAAGAGGATTGGTTGCCTTGCAGTTGTGATTGTTGATTTTGTAAAGAAGTCCTCGACTCAGCGCTCCAGAACTCCAGGACGACATTCGGTACGTCAAATGTCCAAATCCCTTCGATACATTTCTTTAAACCAAATTAATGGTAAGCCAATTTTATTCCTTTAGGGGTATCTTCGAAACCCAACTTTTCCTCAAAGGTACTAATACAAGTTTGTCTTTTCGATAGCATTCCAACAAGAAATGTGAATTGTATGAATCTCAACTTTCCTTGATATCCATTCTGACCTGTAGCCCGACTACCTTAGTGGGTATGGAGCGGGCTCGTAAGGTGTTGTCACTTTATGCACACAACTCGGTATCGCGTACAATTATAGGTTTAGAGGAAGCCCTCAGGGGCGGTCAAAAATACACTTCAGCCTGGAGGATAAAACCTTATGAAAGACGAGGCTATGTGAACTCTACGGGAACTGTGATTTCCACTCATTTCATTGTGTGAAATTTCAACCATATATACTCGGCTACTTGCTGACGCATAGAATACTACAACCTTGTATTGGGGAAGAAAAAAGGGGAGTTACGTAGTGTATTGTATGTAAGACGGAAGGTTACAGACGAAAATCTCCCGACGCGGGAAAAATATAGACTACGACAGCGTGTAGTGTTGGCGACAGTCAGAAAGATTGTACCACAGAGTAACTAACGCCAGTTCCTGTCAGTCTAGGCATGCTTGAGGTTATCTCTGTGGGAACAGAAGAAGTTATCATATTTATGTGTATATAAGTTATCCTGTTTGTCTGTCTGTCTATCTGCCTGTATGTATGCATGCATGTTTTTTCCGTTTATAAGTAGGTTTTCGAGACAACTAGTAGAAGATATATATATATGAGATACATTTACCCATTTACGTGTAAGGTTATGAAGAAAGCAAGGGCATGTGAAATTAAAACGAAACCGAGTGAATACATACATGAGTACGTATATATGCATGTATGTATGCACGTATATATGTATGAATGTATATACATTAGGATAGGTGAATAAATGAGTCGATCTTAATATTTACGCATAAAAGAATATACATATATAAGTATGCTTGTATGTATGATTTCCTATTCCATTTGTTAATGCTTCAGCCATTTTCTATACTGTGGCGTAAGTCAAGCAAAGTATCTTCATTCAGGGGAAGTTGGGAGATTTGTCAGTGGGATTGTGAAACTGGCCTTATTGTGCATGATATTATCATACAAGAAGACGAAGTCAGTAAATCCCTAACGACTTTAAAAGCACACTATAAATTATCATCGTAGTAAAATTGTTTTCAATGCGAACAGTAATTCTTAAAAAAGTACTCCTTATCACAGGTCGCTTAAGACGAATGAGAGACTACATGTGAAATTTTACCAACTTCAAATATATTGGCCTCGTGATACCATTCAAGTCTGTTTAGACTTGCCTCCAAAAGTTTTTATCGTTCAGACTTAACTGCAGCTTCGACATCTGCCTTGCCATCTCACCAGCACGATCAACGCGTTTTGAAACACCACACTTACAGGTGACAGTGGACCAAAGGCAAGGTGTCGGTTTCTAGACAAATCTGGCCTCCCCATATTATATTTATAGCTCGATATTCGATGAGGCACTCTTGCCCTTGTAATTAGCCGACAACGATACTTATTTTAAATAAGAATCTGTTTCTAATTTATCAGTAATTCTGAAAGAAGCACTACTTCTAAGTCACTAGTGATAGTGAATTTTTCATCAATAAAGTGATTAGGTTTTAAGGTTCTATTGTAGTTCATTTCCAAAGTGCCATTATCCAATTCCAACAACCCTACCGCCTTGGAAGCCATTCATTCCATGGCAATCATACATTTACATAAAATGGGGGCCAGGCTGAAGTAGGAGTCATGTGGTATCTTCTCCAACAGAGAGACCCAATCATAGGAAAACCTGGGTTTTTTGCCAGACCCTTACTCAGGTTGGGCGGCAGATATGCATCAGGACTGTCCATTAAACAAGGACCAAAATCTAATTCTAAAGAGTTGATTATATTCTTTACAATTTGTTTGATCTATGGACGGGGGGAAATAGAATAATTAAAACTGATTTTAGGGAAAAATACTGCAAAAGTGCTCGGCTCTTATCAGTTCTCGGGAATACTCGCATGCCAATTTGGATGGAAGAGGAAGATTATTATGTTACTATAAATAAAAATGTCGTATGTTGTATATATTAAACTATACTTATATTTTTCTAAAAAATATTATTTTATATTAATATAATATACCAAAATAAATCTTATATATAGTAATTTATTTTTATGATAACATTAACAATGTATAATAAAAATAATATAATGTATATAACAATACATATCAAGTGTATACACAATATAAAGTAAATTAAATATTTCATACAAAGATTCTTATAAATTAGTATTTTAAATAAAAAAATATATGTAATGTACAATATAGTCGTTGATTTTACTGAGATGCCTGGTCTACAGCGAATCGTGGTTGGTATGCTGCTGAACGCAAGATAAGAGAGGATCTAGGAATGGTTTGGATTAAATAACGCATTTATTGCAAGGAGTTAGTAAAGAATCACTTATGCTGGATTGATAGATTTGTGAGAGGATTGTTGAGTCACCGATTCAACCGGTCGCCTCAGAGATGGTTGTCAACATATTCCCACTTTTTCAACATACCCGTCAAATTCACCAATTAAACCGAGCTTACGTCAGATATTACACAATCCCACTAACAGGATTTCTTGATTACCCTGGATTGGCGTTAGGCTCTTTCGAAAACAGTTGCAGTCATAGTTGGGGGTCTTACAGCCAGACTTAAACACATATACGCGCACCCACTTCTCCACACACATACATAGACATACACATACACATGATAATACTTTTACCAATATTCTATATCCATGTATATTATTCCATTTGCATTTAAGATAGGGTCTGAAGATGTTGTAAGATTGAGTTTCAGCCCTGAAGATCTCTGTCAAGTGACATGAAAGAAGAAAACCGACTGTCTCAACCTGAACGTCCCGGAAACTTCGTTCAACGGCATAGCAACAGGAAGTGGCCTTTATTTTGTGTGATGAGATGAATCCAGAAATATCTTCCTCAAATGTTTGCATACAAAATGAAAGTCGTGAAGTGAGTCCATCTCCCTCGAGATCCAACCTTTCAGGCGGCAGCTTTGAGTAGCTCCATTCAACCCGTACGATGAGCAAAATCAGCGTTGCTTCGGCGAATGGTGTTCAAGTGCCTCCGAGTGGGTAAAGTGATCGGCAGAAGGTCACCTGAACGACCTTTTTCAGAGGGTTCTGAGAGTCGCGTATTGACGACTGGTTCCACTCGCTCCTGGTTACTTTGGCCAAATGGTCGTGCAAAAACATCAACTTATCTCAGAAAGCAGGACTGTGCTATGACCCTGTTGCCATGGTGGGCGTTCGCCAGGCAGACGAGACGTCTCGTACCAATCACACTCGACTCAGACGAGGCTTAGAGTCGTCTGATTGTATCCAGCCCAGTCGCTTGAGTCTGCCTCTACACCTGCCCTGCTCACTCGGACTCTTGTCAACAGGTGTGTGCATGTGTGTGTGTGTGTATGTGTGTGAGTGTATGTACATGTTGAAGGATGGGCATGGCGACAGATGTGGGTACAGGGAGTTGACAAATCGTTGCAGACCCCAGACCCACCCATTTGGGGGGCAGAGGCATCGGTTTGTCCAACAATCAATCATTGGGAAATCGCAGTTTGCGGGCAACAATAGACTGTACCGACTGCGGGACGTCCACCGGATGGACACAGCCCTGTCGCGGGGGGGGGGCATAAGCAGCTCTTCTTCACATGTGCCCCTCTTCGGCCATTCTGACAGGAGGCGCCTCGGCAGTCCCACTTCTTGTCCACCGACTGGGTCTGTCTGTCAATCAAGCCACAAGAGATCCTCATCTCCAGGCCTGACCTTTTGAGGCGCGTTGGACGAGTTGAGGTGGCCAACATTCGCAGATCTGCATCGTAGACCCTCTGCCTCGGGGGGTTGGGCGTCGGGCGGGTTGGCCCACATGCAAAGTCTCCGTTCGTCTGGGCCAGTTTGGCCACGATTCTGGCAACACGACTCACTTGGCGCAACCACTTGCCGTGGCAACCGGACTCGTAGACGCCACTCTTGCTGCCGTCCAAGAGTCCGCTTGTGAACGGTTGCTGTCGACGGTACAGTGGAAGGCCGAAGCCTCGGCCGACCAGATTACTAGACTCTCTTCCCTTGACGGCCACGGGAAACGCTTGCCGACCTCTTCGGTGAGTGTACCCAAATTAAAGTGTATTTAGTGCTTAAAATCCGTGCATGTAAAGTACAGTTTGAAGGTATGAAAACCAAGATGGTGTGGCCTTTTGTGTGGTCGCAGTCTCG